GCAGGCTTTTTAATAGAAACCTTACAGGCCGGGCAAGAGCAGCATGACATATTTACAGTGCTGAAGAAAAAAGCTTTTACCCTGGAATAGTATATCTAGTGAAAATATCCTTCAACCCTGAAGGAGAAGTAAAGACTTTCCCAGATAAGCAGAAGCTGAGGGACTTTATCAATAATGTCAGGCCTGTCCTACAAGAAATGCTGAAGAGAGCACTTCAATCAGAAAGAAAAGGACATTAATGAGAAATAAGAAATCATCTGAATGTGCAGAACTCACTGGTAACCAGAAGTACACAGGAAAACAAATATTATAATACTGTAACTGTGATGTGTAAACTACTCTAATCCTAAGTAGATAAACTAAATGATGAACAAATTAAAAGAATAACAACTTTTCAAGACATACACAGTACAATATGATATAAATAGAAACAACAAAAAATTTAAAAACGGGTACAGACATAAAGCATAAAGTTTTTATTAGTTTTCTTTTGCCAGTTTTTTTGTTTATACAAACACAGTTGAGTTGTCATCAACCTAAAATAATCAGAATAGCCCAATCCTAAGCAAAAAATACAAAACTGGAGGAATCACATTACCTGATCTCAAATTTCACTACAGAGCTTAGTAACCAAAACAGCATGGTATTGTCATTAAAACAGATACGTAGATCAGTGGAACAGAACAGAAAACCCAGAAACAAATCCACACACCTACAGTGCACTCATTTCCAACAAAGGTAATAAGAATATACACTGGGGAAAAGACAATCTCTTCCATAAATGGTGCTGAGAAAACTGAATATCTATATGCAGAAGAATGAAACTATACCCCTATCTCTTGACGTATGCAAAAATCAAATCATAATGGGTTAAAGGCTTAAAGCTAAGATCTCAAACTATGAAGCTACTATAAGGAAACATTGGGGAAATCTTCAGGACATTGGTCTGGGCAAAAATTTCTTGACTAATACCCTGTAAGCACAGGCAACCAAAGCAAAAATGGACAAATGCAATCATAAGTTAAAATGCTCTGCACAGCAAAGGAAATAATTAACTGCCACTGTGAAGAGATAATCCCCACAGAATGGGAGACAATATTTGCAAACTATCCATCTGACAAGGTATTAATAACCAGAATATATCAGGAGCGCAAACAACTCTATAGGAAAAAAAAAATTCCAATTTTTAAAAAATGGGCAAAAGATTTGAATAGACATTTCTTAAAATAAGACATACCAATGCCAAACAGATATATGAAAAGGTGCTCAACATCACGGATCATCAGAGAAATAAAAATCAAACAAATAAAAACTACAGTGAGATATTGTCTCACCCTAGTTAAAATGGCTTATATCAAAAGACAAGAAACAGAAAAAGCTGCAGAGGATGTGGAGAAAAAGGTAATACACTGTTGGTGAAAATAAATTAGTATAACCATTATGGAGAACAGTTTGGAGGCACATCAAAAAACTAAAAATAGAGCTATCATAAGATTCATCAATCCCAATGCTGGGTATATGCCCAAAAGAAAGGAAATCTGTATACAGAAGAAATATCTGCACTCCCATGTTGTTGCAGTACCGTTCACAGTAGCTAAGATTTGGAGGCAACCTAAGTGTTTATCAACACATGAATTGATAAAGAAAATATACTACATATACACAATGGAGTATTATTCAACCATAAAAAAGAGTGAGATCCTTTCATAGTTGGAACCAGAGATCATTATGTTAAGTGAAGTAAGCCAAGGACATAAAGGCAAACATCACATGTTCTCACTTATTTTTGGAATCAAAAATTCTAAACAAACAATTGAACTCATGGACACAGAGAGTGGAAGGATGGTTACCAAAGGATGCAAAGTGTAGTTGGGGAGATGGGGAAGGAAAGTGGAGATGGTTAATGGGTACAAAACAATAGAATAAATAAATAAGAACTAAATATTTGATAGCACAGCAAGGTGACTATAGTCAATAATAACTTAATTGTACATTTTTAAATAATGAAAAGAGTCTAATTGGATTGTTTGTAACACAAACGATAAATGCTTGAGGGAGTAGATACCCCATTCTCCATGATGTGATTATTACACATTGCATGCCTGTATCAAAGCATCTCATGTACTCCATAAATATATATACCTACTATGTACCCACAAAATTATAAAAAGTGTAATCAAATCAAGTCTTTAAATCCAATATTTGTTTACAGAAAGTGATAGAGAAAACAGCTAACACCACAAAAGAACTGATCAGAAAATCCAGAATGTACAATATTAGAATATCCTCTCCAGACAGCCAACACAGTTGGCCCAGTTTTTCCAGGAAACCAAGTGCGTGTGTGTGTGTGTGTGTGTGTGTGTGTACATGTGTTTTAAACAGAGAATTATTGGAGAATAAAAGCGACTTCGGACTGCAGCTGTCTTAGCCACACACTGAAATCACCTGAGTGTACAGTGATGGGTCTCCCACCAGGTTACTTAAGGGTGAATGTCTGCTGCTTAAACCTTGAAGGCCAGGTGGTAAGCCAAGGCCATGGTGCCTACCTGAGGAGCAGGTGTCCCTGAGAACCCAAACATCCCCAAAAGGATCTGAGAACCTACCAAGAGAAACAGCCCCATCACAGGCACACAGCAGGCAAAGAGCCAGAAAATTAGCTTAAAAGCAGCTTAGAGACAGGAGGAGGCACAGATCTCTGGAGCTGTTCTGCCGCTGTCCAGGAGTGCCCCATGTAAAGTCCTACTAAACTCATCTACTCACCAGGCTGGAATTGTTGCAGTCATTCTTTGGCCTCTCAGCTCCCTTCCAGTTTGGGAGAAGGCTTTTCTACACAATTTCAAGTTTTCCTCATCACAAGTGGAGTCGTGAACAGGATCCTAGATACCAAATGATGCACAAGAGAAGGGCATCTGCAGGGGAATACTGGGGTAACCAGAAACGTGTGTGGGGTGGAGTTGCCCTACTGCTTGAGCTTTGTGAACCATCACATGAGTACCAGGATGCTCAGAAAACATAGGCAAGGCCTGAGCACATATTGCAAGTAGCTAATATATTCAAAGTATGATAAGGAGACCAAACGTGCTGTTTCTGCAAAAAGGCTGGCTACTGAGGACTCATTAGAGCAGGAAAGGGAAAAAGCATAGGAATTCCTGCAGAAGTTCAAAGGCTTGCCAGCTCTGCTAGAAATCCAGCTTCTTATATATTATGGCTTATTCCTGTGCACATTTTAAAACTGATGGGCAAATTGAAAAGAAAACTTTAGAGCTTAAATTGTTAACCTGCAACTATAGAGTTAATGAGAGTCTTCTACAAATATTTCTCTTATTTCCTTTCCTGCCTGTTTTGTATCTGCTGTTATTAAGCTACTGGCGTTGGGATAAAACTTGCTATTTGTATTACTGCCAATTCAAGGTTACTTAGGGATTTGTCTGATATGATAAGCCTTCAGTTAGACTGATCAAGCAAAACATAGAGAAAATACAAATGTTTAAAATCAAAAAAGAGGAGACATTGCAATTCCTTTTAAACATAGATTAAATGACAAATTCCTAGAAAAACATAAAATACTAAAACTGGAAAAATAGATAATCTGAATAGTCTTTTAACAAGTAAAGTGATTTAAATACTAATATGTACTTTATAAATTCATAGATCAATTTTATAGATCAACTGGTAGTTCAGAAATAAATCAACATATCAATTGATTTTGACAAGGGTGCCAAGACCATTCAATGGGGAAAAACCGTCTTTTCAGCAAATGATTCTGGGACAACCAGATAACCACAGGCAAAAAAAGGAAGTTGGATCACTACCTCACACTATATGTAAAAAATTAACTCACATGATTATAGACTTAAATATAAAATCTAGAGCTATAAAATTCGTAGAAGAAAACATAGACATAAATCTTGATGATCTAGGATTCAGCAATTTTAGTTATGCTACCAGAAGCAAAAGTGGCAAAAAAAAAAAAAAATGGATTTTATCAAAATTGTAAATCTTTATGCTTCTAAAGACACCCACAAAATGTGAAATGACCGTTCATATAATGAGAGAAAATATTTCCATATCTTATATACATATTAAAAGACTTGTACCCAGAGTATATACAAAACAAATATAACTTGTTAATAAAAAGATAAATACCCCAATGAAAATATCAGAAAAGGATATAAACAGACATTTTATCCTAAAAAGATATAAAATGGTGATAAGTATGTGAGAAGATGCTCTATATAATCACTCAGGGAAATATAAATCAAAACTATGAGATACACTCTCAAAGATGGCTATAATTAAAAAGAGAAAATAAATCAGAGAAGATATGGAGAAATTGTAACTCTTATAAAATGCTGTTAGTAGTGTAAATAATGCCCCCATTTTGAAAAAAACATTTGGCATTTCCTCAAAAGGTTAAATATTGGTTTGTCATATGACTTAGCAATTTCACTCCTAGATATATACACAAGGTGAATAAAATATATGTCCACACAGTAGCATGTACGTGAATGTTTATAGCAGCATTATGCCTAATAATAAAAAGAGTGGAAAACACAAATGTTAATCAACTGGATAAACAACATGTGGTATATTCATACAATGGAACATTACTTAGCCATAAAGAGTAATGAAATACTGATCCATTCTACAACATAATGGAACCTTGAAAACATTATGCTTAGTAAAAAAGGCAGTCACAAAAGGCCGCATATTGTATTAATTCATTAATGTCAAATATCAGAATAGGCAAATCCATAGAGACAGAAAGTGGATGAGTAGCTGGCAGAAGGTGGAGGGTTGAAGAAATGGGGAATTATTTCTCATGAGTATGGGATGCCTTTGAAGATAATGAAAATGTTTTAAAATTGTGGAGTGGTCACAAGTCTATACTTAAAAAGGTCACTAACTTGTATACTTTAAAGAGGTGGTTTTATGGTATGTAAATTATATCTCATTAAAGTTGTTATAAAAATAGTCATTGTATTTTCTCTTCTCTACAGATTTCCCTTAATAAAGGGGAAAAAAAACCTCTGCTTCACAAGAAAAGTAAAAGAAGATGAGTTTTACCAGACTGCTTTCTGTACACCTGAATGATGGACACTTCATGCCTATGCTGGGGTTTGGCACCTCTGCCCCTAGGAAGGTAACCATAATGGTATTGGCAATGGAGTAGTAGGTGGCTCCTGATCAGAATCAGTCACTATGTGAAATTCAGGTGGCCCTTGCTTTTCTCATTTGTAACACACTTATCACCAAGTTAGGTTACTTTGTACATTAAGTCAGGGCTTTTCATGTTTTAGTAGATATGTAAACACTTGAGGATCTTGTTAAAAATATAGATTTAGAGGCCTTATCCCTGAAGGTTCTGATTGAGTAGATCTTGAATGAGGCTCTAAAATTTACATTTATAATAAGCTTCCAACTGATTCAGATGCTGCTTGTCCAAAACTATGCTTGGAGTGGCACTCCATCAAGAGAGATGGAAGTATGCATGCAACTGTTCGGAATACAGGGGTGAGTAAGTCTGTTGCTGTTACTCTGGCTTCTGTCCAGTTGTAGCCATTTCATAGTAGAAGAAACAAAATCCTATTGACATGATTACCATGTGCCAGAAACTTCACAGCAAACTTGTTTGTGAGAAAATTGTGTTGTAATTTTTAATACCCAAGTCCCCCTGTTCACCACTAATAAGAATATTGAGAGAAAGTTCTAGGGCATAGGAACTTGGGAAAAGAGAGACAGGCTTAGAGGCAGCTGTGTGGTCTAGGTGGCCACAGTCTCTGAGAGGCCAAGTTGGTAAGATGATGCCATGAAGACTCACATGGTACTTGAAAAATTTCCTTCTCCTTGGCTCTGTGCATGTTTGTGGATCAAGCACTGCAAACTTGCAAGGGCACACCTCAGTGGCTGTTGGTGAAAAACATTATAATTATTTAAGAAAAGTTGTAGGATTGTTTCCCAACACAAGAGAAATGATGTTTACCATTGAGGACTGCAAAGAAGACTGTCATGAAGTATTGCTTTTGCCATTCCTTGGCTCTTTAACCTGGGGATACTTAAAAAAATCTTCACAGACTCAGTTGACTCAACAGTAGTTAGAAATGAAACAACTATACCCATGAGGCATTTTACTTACTAAGTGAGGTATAAAGAGTTCTAATATAAACAGAAAAATTATGGATGACTTCAAGAGTCCAGGCTGGTGGGCCAGAAGAATAATGGATGCCTAAGAAAAATAAGAAGCATGTGAAGGAGAAAGTGTTGCTTAAGAACCGGCATAGCAGCCAAAAGAAGAAATAATTATGAGATTTTTTTGAGTGAAAAAATAGTTTTACTTTTCAAATAATTATTTTATTTTAAAAATCAAAAAAATGATTTAAAAATATTTTTAAATAGCTTATTTTCCTTTAAAATAATTTTTAAAACTGTATCTATTTTTGTTCTTCCTCAAATGTTCTTTGTTTTCCAAGTTAAAATAGGTAAATCAACATTTTATTGTGTCTAAAGTTGTATCTTTATGTTGATAATTATTAGCATTGAATTATTGGATCAAAACCAATTTTATAATCTCTTATAGAGCAAATTAAGTTAGGAATGTAAATCTATAGATTGTGCAAATCTATAGATCATATATATACTATAAATACATAGATAGAAGTGTAAAGTCTGTGATGTGCTGAGCCTAGCTCATGAGGACTCAAAAGAGTATATTGTGAGCATCTTTGCCCATTTTGGCAAGCTTGAACTTAGCCATGGTGGAAGAGTATTTACACTATAGAAATTGGCAAATACTACAAACCAGGACTTCTTCAGAGTTAGTTGTTAAACATTTACCACTGATTGTTATTCAACATTTAGCTTTGCCACCTCTAGCTCTTAGCCCTTAGTGGAGGGGGCGGGGACATTCTTTTGAATACCTCTTTAGAGAATTGATCATCTGTTTCTGAGCCAAACAGGTCTTTATCTCTTTATGCTCCTCCAGGTTGCCATGAGTAATGTAGAAGAAGCCGTCCAGGTGGCAATAGATGTAGGCTACCGCCATATTGACTCAGCTTATTTGTACCTGAATGAAGAAGCCATTGGGCAGGCCATCAGGAAGAAGATTGCCAATGGCACTGTGAAAAGAAAAGATATATTCTATACCACAAAGGTGTTAAGTACCGCATCTGTATCTGTGGGAAGTCACTCTAGGCTGTAGAGCTCCTTGTCAAATTGCTCTTTATTGGTTTAATCTTCATCTCCTCAGACTTGCACCATGAGAAGTCTGGTTAGGAACGTGGATTCTGTAATCAGACTTTTATATTTGAATTCAGGCTCTGACATTTAATAAATGTGTGACCTTCTCTAGTCTATAGCAAGTGTAAAAATAAGTAAATAAATATGTGCAACCTCCGACAAACTACGAAAACACTATCCTTCAGTTTCCCAAGTTGTAAAATTAAGACAATATTATTTATCTCACAGAATTTTTATGAGTGTTACATTTTAAAAATACATGTAAAGCTTGCTGAAAAGTATTTGGTACCTTTCAGATGTTCAAAAATGCTGTTATTATTATCATAATTTTTTAACTCAGAAATGATTTGGCTCTTCCTACTCTACTATAGTCAAGTTTTGACAAAGTGACTTAATCTGTCTTAGCTAAAGTATGAGGTAATGTGATTTAGTCAGAAAGTGCAGGCTTTGGAAACAGATGTACTAGGATCAAATTTTAGTTCTTGAATATTCCATTTGACTTTGTGAAATTTCTTAACCAAAAAACAAAACAAGTTTTTTAGCCTCTCTAAGTCTTCATCCTGGCATCTCAACATATTTTGTGGTCAATAAATGTTTATTTCTCTGAAGATTAAGTTAATGTTTATAAATGTACTTACATATTTCTTTTTAAACTCTTGAGCCATTTTCTTCTTTTAATAATACTCTTCATATTCACTGACATCATATCTGAAACAAAAAAACTTAGGTATTTAAGTCAGGTAGGAAAAGGAACACCAAAGAAATTTTAACGCTAGTGTTCATTGAACTGACTACTGCTAGAAAAACAAAGAACAAATAAACAAAACATTTAAACGTGAGGGGAAGAAGTCCACAGAGATAGAACATAGGCCCATGCAGGTCAATCCCATGCAAGCTTGTAATAAAAGCATTTCTTCCAGCCCAGCATGTAACCTGTAACTGCCTTTAGCTGTGCAGTAGCTACAGCACCAGGCTTCTCAGTCTCATCTTTTAATTCTCCTTTCGTACAAAAGATTGGTTTCTTTAGCTTTAGTCATTTTGATGATTTTTTTCCCCTAGATTGTTGATTCTTAGATTGAGGTAACTGAAGTACCCAAAAAAGATATCCCCTATGGGTCTAACTATCTTTGGGAAACCTAACCATTTAATACAGTCAAACCAGAGCCTGTGGAATCACCATCACTTGGGGTTCCAGTCTGGCAGGCAATTTCCCAGTCTACTCTCCAGATATTGTGATTTATTATGTTAGGAGTAGAATCTAGGAATATGTTTGTACAAGCAAATCAGATTATTCTTTTACATTCTAAAGTTTGAGAATCTGATGAAACTGGTACTTTTTTCTCTACATGTATCATCTTCATTCCATATGAAAATCTGCTATGATGATTAAGAGCTTAGCGTTGACTGGGAATAACTTGTCACTTCTCTAAGAGCATTTGGCTGCTGATGTTTATTTGCCATTTAATTAAGCTCTCTTGAAGACTTTTGAAGAAGTACTCTCACACAACTTCTCTTTCAACCATTGCAGCTGTGGGGCACCTTTTCCCGCCCAGAATTGGTCCAAAGAGGCCTTGAACTGTCACTGCAGAAACTTCAGCTGAGCTACGTGAATCTTTACCTTATTCATTACCCGGTATCTCTGCAGGTTAGCATAAGTTGTTTTACTTTGGTGATCAACATAAATACTAGTCACTGAATGCAAGAGAGGCAACAGTTTCTGAGGATGAGATGATACTTTTAAAATTCTCTCTCATGCTTTTTATTTTTTTTTTTTCTGAAATTCTTCTAAACTCAGTTCACAACTCTAGCCCCAGAGTGACAGAAGTTCAGTGGTGTGAACAGCTTTGCCTCAGTCTTGCGGATGTACTGCCAATATTTTCAAGTTCTTATCCCCTGGAGTCTCAAACCCACATGGCTGACAGTGGAATTCAGTTGCAGAACAGGAGGTTCAATGAGGACAAGACTCAGCTTTGAATGCTGACAAGTCACTGGCAAGAGAGAGCTCTTTGCAAGGGTCCAGGACCAGGGAGCCTGCTGAGTATCACACTACCCTAGAGTCTGCCCAGGATAGGATCCTAAGTGCCTCAGCTTAGCCTTGACACAGACAATATTGATTAAATTTGTAACGCTCAAAAGCATTTCTAGGACGCATATTTCCTACATGTGCTGCCTCTGCCATTAGCATAATTTTACAAATTTATTCAAGAATAAGGATGGAGGGCTCCATGAGTCTCAAGGTTTATAGGCCCTAAGGCTGGCTGAGACCAGGCAGAGCTTTGTGCAAACTCTCCTTCTTTCCTGTGTTCCAGCCTGGAAAGGAGTTTATCCCAATGGACTCACAGGGAAAGATCATTTTTGACACAGTGGATCTCTGCAGCACATGGGAGGTGAGTGCAGCTCCAGTGAGCCCATCTCTGCACCTTGGGGGAGACAGAAAAAATAGACAAGGAATTCGGGAAATGGGGCCTGTTCTAATATGCCCAATGTTCAGACTCGAGAGAGCCCTCGATGTCTCTCTGCCTCTGTTTTCACATTTCATTAACTTACTCATCCAGCAAGTATGTATTGAGTGCCTACAGTGTATCAAGTTCTATTCTGCGTACCCAGAGAACATCAGTGAACAGAACCAGGGTGTTGGTCCATGCATGGGGAGGTGCTGTGGTAAGTGGGGGTGAGAAATAAAGCTGTGTGCTGGAGTCGGTTTGGGGCACAGACCTGCAATGATAAACAGAGTGGCAGGGTAGGCGTCTTTGAAAGAGTGACATTAGAGCGAAGACTTGTAGCAGACGCAGGAATTGATTGCTTGGATATCTGGGGAAAGAGTGATACAGGCAGAAAGAGAGACAAGGTAGTGCTTTGCTTTTGTTTTTGTCTTTTTAGATAGAGCTTTGCTCTGGCAACCAGGCAGGAGTACAATGGCAAGTTCTTGGCTCACTACAACCTTTGCCTCCTGGGTTCAACCGATTCTCCTGCCTCAGCCTCCTGAGTAGCTGGGGTTACAGGCATGCACCACCATGCCTGGCTAATTTTTGTATTTTTAGTAGAGACTGGGTTTCACAACATTGGCCAGGCTGGTTTCAAAGCCCTGACCTCAGGAGATCCTCCTGCCTCAGCCTCCCAAAGTGCTAGGGTTACAGGAGGGAGCCACCGCACTGGGCCACAGCAATGTTTTTAAGAGGGGAGAGATACTAGTGTGTCCAAGAACAGCAAGGGGACATGTGAGACTGGACATTGTGAGTGAGTGGACAGTGCAGGGAATTAGGTCAGAAAGCAGAAGCCGGCAGTCCCACGGGTGGAAAACCTGCCTCTCAGGCCACACCTGCTGCACTTCCTGTTCTCTTGGCACTTGGTACTGGTTTTGCCGTTGCTCCATCAAACTCTTCTAGGTATTCACTAAAGACCATGCTAGTTCCCTTAACTCTGTCCTGGCTACCTACTCGCATTGTTTTCATTCCATCTTCTTGCCCGTTTATTTTACTTATTTACTTTTCGTTTTTCTTTTACTCGGTCCATTCGTGCCTTATTGATCGACATCTGCACTTTGCAAGGCTGTGACTCTCACACTGTCTCATACTCAATCTTCGCCTACCTCTAATGTGCAGACATTTATTATTTGCCTCTAGCTGGCTATATAGATTACTCCTCACAACACCTTCCTCTCCAGGCCATGGAGAAGTGTAAGAACACAGGATTGGCCAAGTCCATCGGGGTGTCCAACTTCAACCGCAGGCAGCTGGAGATGATCCTCAACAAGCCAGGGCTCAAGTACAAGCCCGTCTGCAACCAGGTGAGCGCCAGCCACCTGCCCCACCAACTGCTTCCTTTGCTCTTTGGCTTCCTCTATTCTCAATTTGACAAAGCTACTGATGACATGCTTCTCCACATGTATTTTACCTTTCAACATCAGATGCTTCAAGGGAAGAGAACACACTTTGAATTGTTGAAAAGAGTGCATGACGCCATGTCACCTTATCAAAAAATAATCTAAGGTTTTTAAAAAAATATGAAGAGTATAATCTACCAGGTGCTATCATGGTTGGTTCTAGAAGTTAGAACTAGTGAATGACTGACAACAACTTCTTATTTTTTCTTTTTTTCTCTTTTCTTTTGAGATGGGGTTTCATTGTTGTTTCCTAGGCTGGAGTGGAATGGCACAATCTCAGCTCACTGCAGTGTCCGCCTCCCAGGTTCAAGCGATTCTCCTGCCTCAGCATCCCATGTAGCTGTGATTACAGGTAGTCACCACCACGCTTGGCTAATTTTTTATACATTTAGCACAGACAGGTTTTCACCATGTTGGCCAGGCTGGTCTCAAACTCCTGACCTCAGGTGATCCACTCGCCTTGGCCTCCCAAAGTGCTGAGATTACAGCATGAGCCACCATTCCCAGCTGACAACCACTTTTTTTTTTAACAGAAAAGATCAGCAAATTTGGAAAATACTTTCATATCAATTTGTATGTAAAAGAAAATGGATGATTCACTTTTATGTATGCCAACTCCTTTAAGGGCTGTGTTGTGAGATAACCACTGAGCCTCTCCGTGGTACAAAATCCCTCCCAAACTTATGAAAAGCAACTGTTTGGATTCAGAGTAGGCTTTTTAAAAGAGTCCTGTTGCATAACAATGAGAATGCACTGAATGTCCCTAAAGTAGGCACTTCAAAATCATTAAAATGGTAAAATTTAAGCATGAGATTGTCATAATCAGTTGATTTAAGAAAACATGGTAAAAGTTACATTATGGATATTTTACCACAATACAAAATATAAAAATGTTATTAAAGTCTAGTCAATAAGATAAGCCCACTTGAATGGGCAACACATAACCTGCAGTATCCTGAAGGATTGTGAGGCAAGTCACATGACTGTAGGAAGATCTGGCAATCCATCGGTGCTGAGGAAGGCTCACACTTCAACCAGGTGGCCGCATCTCCATTTAAACATCTGACATGCAGACTAAGTGAGGATGATCATCAATTTATAATTGGCTGTTAGTAAATCTTCATTTATTTCATTTTTTTTTTGAAGAAAAAAACAAATAGGAGTTCTAAAAAGCTTCTTTTGTGACGCTTGGGAATTTTACCTCCACTTGCACATCATCAATTTAGAGAAAGAAAAAAAAATGGTTTTGAGTTCAGTAGTTCATGAAGACCCAGAGGAGAATCTGGACATTACCTTGAACTCTAAAGGGTGAAAAGAATTTGGCTAAGTGAAGGCTGATTGGCTGGGAGGGACTTTACATGGCCTTGAAATCTCGAGCAAAAGTACAACTGGTTAATTATGTGCAGCAAACTGATCATAGTGAGAAATTCACTCAGGTGAGGCTTTACAGGGTCCAGGTGGGTTTTAAGCCCTGAATCTAATGAGCTACCCTTCCTTACTTTTTAGTGTTATGACTAAGCAAACACACATGCAGCAATTCCATAGAAGGTTGATGTGTACTGATGATTAAGCCAATGCAGGGCCTTTCCTGCAGGCTGGGTTGGAGAACACAGTTCAAGTGAGCCTTAAATGAGGTCTCTTGCTTTTCTTTGGATCTGTGTCCATTCCTCTTATCAAATCACTGGAGTCAGGGAACAAACAGTAAGAAAAGCATGCAGCCAAAAGTTCATTTGCCAAACTCTTGGATTCCGGGCTGGTGGATCACAAGCTGAAAAGTCATTACTCATATCCTCAAATTATGTAAACAATTCATCAGATGGAAAACTAGCAATTCGACTCAATAGAGAATTGATGTCACAAGGCAAAATGCTGCCCCCAGTTCTGGAGAGACAGGCTGATAGAGACACCATCAGTGTTCCACAGCTGAGGCTAGTGCTGAGTAGGAAAACCTACACTGTTGTTACTGAATTGCTGGGAGCTCCATGTGGACAAGTCTGAAAGAGAATACTCCAGGGACACCCAGTCTTAGGGAGGCCTCCACACTTTTGTAAGTTGTACCTCTACTGTCTACCAAGTTTTTGCAGTGAATACCAGAGACAATGTTTTGGTACAAGCCCAGAGTAGCCATGTTTTCCTAAAAGGGCCTGCCCTCAGCAGAAGATACTTTACTAGAGCCTATGCCTGAAGTTTTACTTGAATCTAACCTAAGGAAAAAGAAATATACTCAATTCCAACTGAAAGAATCAACAAAATCTCCTGGAACTCACAAGTGAATATAAAAAGGTTGGTGAATATAAAAAGGTTGTAGTACATGAAGTTAATATACAAAAATCAATTGCTTTTCTATATGTCAGCAATGAAAAAGTGGAGTTTAGAGTTAAAAACACTATGCCATTTACATTAACTTCATACAAATAAACATTTCGGTATAAATCTAATGAAGTGGGCTGGGTGCGGTAACTCATGCCTGTAATCCTCGCACTTGGGGAGGCTGAGGCGGGCAGACCCCCTGAGGTCAGGAATTCAAGACCAGCCTGGCCAACAAGGTGAAACTGTGTCTCTACTAAAACTACAAAAATTAGCTGGGTATAGTGATACGTAACTGTAATCCCAGAAACTTGGGAGGCTAAGGCAGGAGAATCTCTTGAACCCAGGAGGCAGAGGTTGCAGTGAGCCAAGATTATGCCACTGCACTACAGCCTGGGCAACAGAACAAGACTCTGTCTCAAAAAAACAAAACAAAACAAAATATGGGTAAGATCTATACAATCCCAATAAAATTACCAGTAAGTTATTTTTGTGAATACCAATGAACTCATCTTAAAGTTCACACTGAAAAGTAAGAAACAACGAATAGCTGACACAATACTGAAGAAGAAAGTCATATAACTAAAACTACCCATCTTTGAGAGATACTATAAAGTACAGTAATCATGACAATATGGTATTGGCGAAAGAATAGACAAATAGATCAATGGAATAGAACAGAGAGAGCCCAGAAATAGACCCACACAGATACAGTCATCTGATCTTGACAAAAGAGCAAAGGGAATTTAGTGGAGAAAATAATCTTGACAAATGGTGCTGGAAAAACTGTACATCCATATTCAAAAATTTTTAAAAAGATTTAGACACAGACTTAACATCCTTCATGAAAATTAACTCAAAATGGATCACAGACCTAAATGTAAAATAGAAAACTATAAAACTCCTAGAAGGTATAAAACAAACTAGATAACCTTGGGTATGGTGATGACTTTTTAGATATGTTACCAAGGGCATGATCCATGAAAGAAAGAATGAATAAGCTGGATTTCATTAACGTTAGAATATTCTGCTTTGTGAAAGACACTGTCAAGAAAATGAGAATACAAATCCCTGATTGGAGAAAATATTTGCAAAACATATATCTGATATAAAATTGATTTCCAGATTACACAAAGAAATCTTAAGACTCAAAAATAAGAAACCATAAACAACCATAAACAACCAAATGTAGAAATGAGCAAAAGATCTGAACAGTTTGACACAGATATATAGATGGCAAATAATCCAATAAAGTTGCTCAACATCATATATCACTAGACAATCATAAATTAAAAAGATATTACTGCATACCTGTTAGAATGGGCAAACTTCAAAACACTGACAACACCAACTGCTGCAGAGAATATAGAGAAACTGAAACTCTTCTTAATTGCTGGTGGAAATTATGTAGATTATTTCTTTTTGGTCACTTTGCAAGCGAGGGATCCCCAGCTAGTGATGCCCCACCAGGGCCTCACTCGACCACGCTGGTGAACCACAGCTGTGTGATAACTTGTACCTGAGTTTGGTGATTCTTGAGCTCTTGTACTACATCCAAGATGAATGAGGAAATGCTGGGCATTGAAGGGAGAGGAGGGGGGAGAAGAATTTTATTGAGTGATGAAAATGGCTTTAGCAGAGAGGGGATGCAGGGTTGGTCCCCATACCCAAAGGCAAGAAAGTCCCCCCATGTGGCTGGGTCTGGAGCCTTTTATGGACTTAGAATGGGGAGTGCATGCTGATTGGTTTGTGAATGTGCAAAAAAGGTTAAAGTGAAGACACCACTCAAAAGTGTGCATGACAGTGCAGAAAACCAATTAGGAAAGGGTAGGTATATGTAAAATAGGTGAAGGGTGGGGATGAACCAGAGGAAGCTGTGACAAACAGGAAGACAGGTGCTTAATCTTGTCCAAGGATTTAACTTGTAGTTTGGATTTCAGGCTATAAACTGTCCTGGGCTTGGAGGTGGGGTGTCACTGGGGACTCACCCCTATCTGCCTAGGCATTTGGCTATATCCTGCCATTCTCAAAAGTACAAAATGATACAGCCACTTTGGAAGACATTTTGGCAGTTTCTTACAAAACTATACATACTCTCACCACATAATCCACCGTCAGCAGTCATGCTTTCTGGCATTTACCTAAATAAGTTGAAAACATATCCAGACAAAAGCTTGCTCATAGACACTTATAGCATATATATTCATCATTGCCAAAACTTTGAAGCAACCAAGCTGTCACCATGGTTCATGAGCAAGAACCAAAGATGTCACCATGGTTTTCAGTCTGGGAGACTGAAATTCTCTTTTGGCCTTGTACACAACCTGCCCCCTAAGAGCACTGAGTTAATTATTTAATCAATAGTGCCATTGATTAAATGGCACTGTAATCCCAAGTGGGCTGTAATCCCAAGTGAAGCCCTTGGGAGCTTCATGGGTACAGCTGTGGATGACCATCATGGCTTGGCCAGTGTTGCTGGGATTCTGAAAGATATTTGATACCATCCAATGCAGCACTGCATGTCCCTAGTAAACTTGGTGTTGGTGGTTCCGTAACCTAACTCTCCTGCTTGGCATGCTGCAGGTGGAATGTCACCCTTACCTCAACCAGAGCAAACTCCTGGAGTACTGTAAGTCCAAGGACATTGTCATGACTGGATATGCTGCCTTGGGGTCTGACCCAGGCAAGGAATGGTAATAATCTCGATAAAGTTATTTTGTTGTGGTTTTTGTTTTGTTTTGTTTTGTTTGTTTGTTTGTTTGTTTAGATGGGGAATCTCACTCTGTCACCCAGGCGGGAGTGCAATGGCACAATCATGGCTCGTTGCAGGCTTGACCATCCAGGCTCAAGTCAGAATCTTCCCTCCTAGACTCCCTGAGTAGCTGGGACCACAGGCGTGCACCACCATGCTTGGCTAATTGTTTATTTTCATTTTTGTCGAGACAGGGTTTCGCCATATTACTCAGGCTAGTCTTGAACTCCTGGGCTCAAGTGATCCTCCCACCTTGGCCTCCAAAAGTGCTGGGATTAGAGGTGGAAGCCACCACTTCTGGCCCACAAAGTTATTTTATTCATAGATACTGTACCTTCTGAAGTAATCTCTCAACTATCTGAAGAAACTAAAAATAGACAGCAGGAATAAATTCACTTGTAAACCTTTTACCTAACCCAGACCTCCATTATAAGAACTCAGTAGAACTGCCATCTTCCATTCATTTGTCCTTCTTTTTTGGATGTAACGAAAGAAGCAGAACAGATATTGAGACAGCCAGAAGATAATGAGAAAGGTTGTAGGAGGTTAGCACCCCTGACCAAAATGAGCAGCCCCCAAGTAAAATGGATATTCAGCCTCAGACTTACAGCATCCCTGCCTCTCCTCTAAGGGTGAAAACAGACAACCCAGTTCTCCTGGAGGATCCAGTACTCAATGCCATTGCTGAAAAGCACAGGCGAACTCCAGCCCAGGTTGCCTTGCGCTACCAGCTGCAGCGGGGGGTGGTGGTCCTGGCCAAGAGCTTCACTGAGAAGAGAATCAAAAAGAACTTCCAGGTACAGGACAGGGTGGTGGCAGCAGAAAACTGACAGAGCCACATCATTTCCCCATGGCATGTGGGTTTTTGCGAAGCTCTCAAGGTGTATTTGGGCAAAGCTTATCCCCTTCTACATACTATGCATAAAGCACCATATTTAATTGCTTTGTCCCCCAGTGCTACAAGGGAGAATGGGATGGTTGGAAAGAACACTAAAGACAGGGTTAGAAGCAAGTCCTAATCCTGGGTTTTCCCCTGCAGTATGGTGCTGGGTAAGTCATCCCTTGATTTCTATGGCTGTAAAATAAAGGGATTAGATCATGTGAGGTTCAGGCTTAATTTTTCTAGGATTTCTTTGCTGCAATGACAGCTCCCCAAGAAAAGTCTCTGAGGAAGGATTAACAATGCCAATCTCAACTTTATAAATGGACAAATTCCTATGACATGCCACTGAATGAATCATTTGTCCATGACAACTCACTCATAAATCCTATACAAATTCCTACATGGAGGTAATGAGGTAATCCTACATGGATTTTGTGTGTTTGTGGAGAGGGGAGAAGAGGAATGGCAATTGCCTCAAGGAAATTAAATTGATCTTTTCACATTTCTGACAGATTTGTGACTTCCAGCTCACACCAGAGGACATGAAAACCATAGATGGCCTGAACAAGAATATGAGCTATTTTGAAAATGTAAGTAGCTTGTTTTGTTGTCAACACTAGGGAGCAGGACAGTGGGGGGAATTCAGCTGATTTCAATCCATAGAGGGCAGCGTCTGTTGCTTAGGAAAGCTTTTGGAAAACATTTTTTCTTCCAACTTCAGATCAGAGATATTTTGTTCCAAGGCTCAGGGCTCTGCCCAGACAAGAGTGTAAGCAGGCCGGGCACGGTGGCTCACGCCTGTAATCCCAGCACTTTGGGAGGCCGAGGCGGGTGGATCATGAGGTCAAGAGATCGAGACCATCCTGGTCAAAATGGTGAAACCCCGTCTCTACTAAAAATACGAAAAATTAGCTGGGCATGGTGGCGCGTGCCTGTAATCCCAGCTACTCAGGAGGCTGAGGCAGGAGAATTGCCTGAACCCAGGAGGCGGAGGTTGCGGTGAGCCGAGATCGTGCCATTGCACTCCAGCCTGGGTAACAAGAGCGAAACTCCGACTCAAAAAAAAAAAAAAAAAAGAGTGTAAGCAGAACTCAACATAGACTGAAGCTCCCTGTTGAAGACAGGGCTCTCCTGGTTCCCCACTGCCTCTGTGTGTCCCTCATCACTAGGCTTCCCTCCAATCTATATCCTAAGAATTCCATGGTTTCTATCTCTAACCCAGACCTTTTTCCTGGTCTCTAGTATCCCACTGATTTTCTATTAAATTAAAATCCCCTGGAGATATTCCCTACAGATAGTTCTACTTATTCTTACAGTTTAAACTTAATACACTTAAAATTGAAGTCTTCGAAGTTCTCTCTCTATACTCATCATGGTAATACTACAAAGACCACTATTATGGCACAAACCTCACCCCCTATGTCTAAATAACCACCTCGTCCTGTTGATTCTATATTTCAACATTTCTCATGCTTCCCTAATATTCATCACAAAGCCCACCCTCTCTCATTCAGGTTTTGAACCTGAATTGGCTGTCTTGCAGGGCTGGCCACAGGGCTGGATCTTCAGCTGTGGTTTCCAAACAATGTTCAGAACTTTGCTCAGGTCTGGGGGTTCTCAGTAGTAAAGAGTAAGTAGGTTCCAAAAATTAAGAAGAAAAAAGGGAAGAGGCTGAGTATCAAGCAAATGGAGGTGATAATGAAAATCCAGTGGCAGGAAAAAATTTTTTTCTAAAGATAGGCTTTTAATGACCCTTCAAACTTTTAGATTCTATGATTCTCAGAAGACTGTAGAGACAAATCTGGAAGTTATTTTTTTCTCTTTGGTGGCATTTAGTACATATATGTATGTAAACATCTCACAACACAGGAAGACCAACCAATCCAGTAGCTCTTGGGCTGACTCCCATCCTCTGCTGCCCAGTAAGTCTGGCCACGAGCACCTTAGCTCCCTTGAAGTTATCATAGTCTTTGTCACTGTTAGTTCAGTCACGACAGGAGCCTAAAATTCCTGGTTCGCAAATAGCTCTGTGTACACCACCTTAACACTTTTTCACTGCCCTTCCTGAAAGTCCTACTGAACCATTTTATCCTTGATGTCTTCTGTAAATGTTCCTTTCATCTTTTCCCAATAGCTGAAACCCTATTCCTCCTAGTAGCACTGATTCCCATCAGCTCTCTCCAGTTGGGGTTGTTATCCTTCCCAAGACCTTAGCAGTGCTAAGTCTGACTATTGAGTTGGAATCATCTTCCGAAAAGCATTCAGCTCTGCGCTTTGTGTTATCAGACTAACCCACCACTACCACTGTCCTTTGTAGTCATCAGGGCTGCGTTCCCAGGTCTTCTGTCATCCACCAAAGATTTTAGTTCCTAGTTTTCACTCCATCCAGCAGTAGAACTGTCATAATTTCTTACAATTTCAACGCTACACAGATAATCCTTGTAATAGTCTGATCTTTCAGTTTTGTGACTTTCCTCTTTCAATGTGTTTATCCTTCAGTCTCACTCAGCCTGTCAACATAGTAGTCTCATCCTAGACATTGTCATTACAAGTTACTATAACCATGACTGGATGTCAGTTTTAAATTCTTACACTACAGTCATCACCTCCTACATTTCCAGCTCCTTTTCTACATGATGAACTTCAGTAATCCTTTGATTACTGCATGACCTACAATTCACTGACCCTACCACCTTTTCACTGTAACTTGACCCTCTAATGTACCCTCTGTCCTTTTTTACCTGCTTAAATTTCGGGGTCAGTCAATATATAAACATGCTTGCAGATATCCTCAACCCTTGCCATTTCTTCTAATGTTATTTGCTGGTTTCTTCTCATTAACTTGACTGCTCAGTTTTGGAGTGACTTGGAGCTCAACCTAGACCTCTTCTCTTTTCTCTACCTACTTTTACATCATTGTTGATTTCATCTATTCTCATGCTTTAAATATCATCTAAATATAGACCCGCCAAATTATATTCAGCCCAGGTCAGAGCTCTGGACCAAGGTTTATATATCTATACACCTCTATCTGGATATCTATTATGTATCTCCAAATTATCATGTCTGTAATTGGGCTGATAATGGTATCTGCAGTTTCTTCCCCAATATACACAAACACACACACACACACACACACACACACACACCCCATGCTCATACCAAAGTTTTTCTGATAAAGTAACTGGTTCCTGGTGGCCTCCCTTTCCTGTACTTCAGCTCCAGGCATAGTAGCCACAGTGAACAGGTTAAAAAGAGTGTAAACCAGAAGTCCTCAATATTTGGGAGCCTGCCATCTCACTGAGAATTAAGAGCAAATTCATTACAAAGACCTAAAGGGCCAACAGGTACTCCCTTTCTTAACTTTGTATGTCCCTGTCCTACCATTCTCTCGATTCTTGACTCCAGTGCAGCCCCAGTGACCTCCTTGCTGTTCCTGACTGTATTAGTCTTTTTCACACTGCTGATAAAGATATACCCAACACTGGGAAATTTACAAAAGAAATAGTGGTTTAATGGACTTACAGTTCCAAGAGGCTGGGGAGGCCTCACAATCGTGGCAGAAGGCAAAGAGGAGCAGGTCATGTCTTACATGGATGGCAGCAAGCAAAAAGAGAGTCTGTGCAGAGAAACTCCTGTTGTTAAAACCATCAGATCTCATGAGACTCATTTGCTATCACAAGAACAGTGCAGGAAAGACCCACCCCCATAATTCACTCACCTCCCACTGGGTTCCTTCCACAACATGTGGGAATTGGGGGAGTTAGAATTCAAGATCAGATTTGGGTGGGGACACAGCCAAACCATAACAGTAGCATATGTCAGGCCTGTCTTAGGGCCTTTCCACTAGCCATTCTCTCTGCCTAGAAAGCTCTTCCCCATATAGAAGGATGGCTCACTCCTTTACATCCTTCAGGTATTCACTCATACATCACTCAATGATGGCTCCTCTGTCACTTACCTAAAAATTCAACTCATTTTTGTCCTTGACACATATCCCTAACTTACATACCATATATTTTACCAGTTTATTTAGCTTATTTTCTCTTTATCACATTAGAGTGTTAGATTCTAAGGGCAGGGTTTTTGTTTTGTTTTTGTTCTTTTGTTCTTAAACTACTCTCTCCCTGGGTACTTAATAAATATTGGTTAAATAAATAACATAATCAAATGATAAAGAGGGCAAGGGTAACGGAGAGTGAAGATACATTCAGGAACACCTGACAATAAATATCGGTAATATTAATCAACAATAAGTATTCAATGACTTGGCATTTTCTATGTCGAAAATTATTACTTTGTGTATAGAAAGAGTTTTTATCTCCCATGCTAAAATAGAAGCACCTGGTTGAAATGACTTCATCTTCTAAACACTGTGTCTGTGTCTAGGTAGAATATAGAATTCTCTCTCAAGAAAAGCCATAGATAAATTGTTTCTGAATGCCTGACATATATTGAACAGTGATAATTTTATCACCTTCCTCATTATCACCTTAAAATGTTTATTAACTTTACATATTAAATCAAACTGAGCATTGTTTTAAAAGACATAGAATTTATTTCTGCCCTCCTGGAGGTTCAAAATATAAAAACAAATAATTTATCTCCTTAAGCTGCAGAATAACATATTGAAAAAATGGAATGCCTCGGTATATTTGTGAATATGTGCCCATGTGTGTAGGTATATTTATTTTCCACAAAGTATTCACGACAGCATGATGCACTAGTATGTTATTATCATAAAACTAGTTGGGTTTGTACCTAACTCACAAAGAAAACTGTGTTAATTTTAGGCTCATACCAGTTTAACAGAAATCTGTCTTCATCGAACCCAGAAACAATGATTTGACTGAGACTCTCCCTTTACCTTTTAGCTTTTCTCATCACCTGGATTAACAATTTCTTGATGAATATTAAGAAAATTATCTGTGGTTGTTCCAGAGCTTATTGATTTTGATTGATGAATAGAGAACATTTCAAGGATGAGAAGTTTCTAGTATTCCCCATTGATTAGCCTGCTCAGTCACAAGTTGGCCTAAGACCCTGGATCAGAAAAGAAAAGTATCTAAGCCCAGTTTTCTCTTGATTCCCACCCCCACAACTGCCAAAATAAAGATGTATTTGAAACAATCTAACTGCTGCAGCTTTGGCATTTGCTTTTGTTTCTTTCCCATCTCACTGAGGTTAAGATGCTGACATCCCTGGAAGGGCTGATGGAAGGGGTGACCATAAGGGATGTGACTCTCTCAAAAAATGCTAATAACTTGGTATACCTTCAAATTTGCAAAATCTACTTTTTTACTTGTTTGTCCTTCTTGAGCATTTTTTTCTTTTCTGTGTATTATCCACACTATACAATTTTGTTAGATACTCTAAATGAATTTAACACTTAATACATAATACCCAAAATGTCCTGATTTTAATTTTAAAAGTTACTTATCATACCAAGAACAAGGATGGTCTCAAGTTGAATAAATAAAGATAAACAACAGATGGCTACAATCAGATGACCAGGATGTCATCATTATCCAATCAAGTTTTTAAAGCAACCATTGTAAAAATGTTCAACAAACAATTGTAAACACACTTGCAACAAATGAAAAAACAGAAAGTTTCAGCCAAAAATTAGAAAGTGTTAGAAAATAAATAGAAGATAAATGAACAACCGAATTTGGAAATATTAAAACTGAAAGTTACAATATACAAAATTAAAATTGTAGTCAATAGGATAAATAACATAAGAAATAGAGGAGATAATTATTGATCTGGAAGTTAAGGCAATATAAATCATCCAATAGGAGCAACAGATAGAAAACAGACAGAAGAAGAAAAGGAACAGAGCTTCCAGGACCTGTGGAACTACAACAAAAGACTAAACATTCCTGCCATCAAAGTCCTGAAAGGAAAGGAAGCAAAGAATGGGCTGGAAAAGTACTTATAGATGCAGTGGCTACTTTAATTGCTGAAAGCTTTTCAAATTTAGAAATACTGACAAACCTACAGAGTCAAGAAGATAAGTGATCTTCAAATAATATAAACCAAAAGAAATCAAATCAAGACACATCATAAATATATGAAAACTAAAAGAAAAGAAAAGCTTGTGAAAAAGCAAGAGAAAAATAACACCTAACCTATAGAATAAAAAGAATTAAAATAATTGTGAATTTTTTATAAAAAAAAAACCATGGAAGCAAGTGACAATAATTTTCAAATGCTGAAAAAAAATAATTTTCAATCCAAACTCTTGTTCAGCAAAAATATCTTTCAAAATAAAAGAGATATTGCCAACACATTTGCAGGTGAAGGAAAATAAAATATTTTTTTTCAGAAGAACTAACCTAAAATAATAGCTAACATAAGTTCTCAAAACAGAAAGAAAATAGAAAAAACAAATAGAATCTTGTAACATCAGGAAAAAAAAGTACAAATATGCAAGTAAAAATATAGGTAAATGCAATAGATTGTTCCTGCCCTCTTGAGTTTTCTAGATGATGTTTGTCAATTGAAACAAAACTAAATGTCTTATATGGTTTTAAATGGATGTGTTAGAAATATTTAATGAAAGTATATTATTAATGGGGGAGGGTAAAGGAACTTGAAAGGAGGTAAGGATTTTGTACTTCTTTCAAAGTGGTAAGATAATGACAACAGTACACAGTGATAATTATGTATATGTACTGTAGTACTAATAGCAACCAATGCTATGCAAAGAGATACACCAAAACATGCTATGTATTAATCAAATTGCATCCAACAGGATCTAACTGGGATTTATAGAACATTCTACTTGACAATACCACAAAACAGATTCTTTTCAAGTCCCCAAAGAGCATAATCAAGGCAGACCATATTCCGGCCATAAAACAAACCACAACATCTAGAAAATAACCAAAATCATAAAAGCCTGAACAAATAGACATTAATTGAAATTATGCAGAGTATGTCATTCAAGGAAAAATGAATCAAATTAGAAACCAAAAACAGAATAGTAACATGAAAGTCACCAAACTCTTGGAAATTAAACAACACACTTCTAAATAATCCATGGGTAAAATAGGAAGTCTTGAGGGAAATAAAAAAGTACATTGAACTGAATGAAAATAAAAATGCAACATATCAAATTGTGTAGAACACAGCCAAAGTAGTGCTAAGAGGAGATTTTATAGAAAAGGGGAAGTTCTTAAATCGATAATCTAAGCTCTTATCTCAAGAACCTAGAAAAGGTAGAGCAAAATAGCCCAAAGCAAACAGAACTATTGAAATAATAAATACGGGAACTGAAACCAATGAATTTGAGAGGAAAAACAGAAAAAAATGAAGCAAAGAATTGGTTGTTTGAAAAGATAAATTCAAGCAAGCTTCTAGCAAGACTGACATAAAAAAAGAGAGAAAAAACACAAACTACCAACATAAGCAATGAAACAGGGAATTATGCTAAAGATCCTGTAGAAATAAACAGGATGGTAAGGGAGCACTACAAACAACTCTACGCACGTAAATTTCACGAGTTAGATAATGGACAAATTCCCTGAAAAATACACAAGATACCATAACTCACCCAACAAAATAGATCATTTGAATAGCTCTGTTACTATTTGGAAACTATTATTGAGTGTTCTTCACATAGGGCAATGTAGGTATTTGCAGAAGTGCGAGAAGAATCTGTTTTGTTTTTTTCAACAGGACGCAATTGAAGGAACTGGTTATTTTACCAAGGTTTTGACTGAAATGATGTGCTTTCCTTTAAGGAATCAAACCTGACTTATAGAACCAGTAGTAGCTTCTTTGGAAAACTGGCCTCATGCCTTGTCTACACAGTCCCTTTACACAGTTTCTGACCCAATGGTAAATAAAGAATGTCACTTTCTGACAGGCCCAGGAGCTTCAAGTTGTCTTAGGACCTTGGAGGAGACGAATGTACCCAAATCATGCAGGTATTTGATAGTACACACCCATGGCTGGGCTTGAGGCTTTAAAAAGTCTTGTTTGAGATTCCTTATGGAACAAAGTTTCATCAAAGCCAATTTAAAAAGAAGCCTAAGTGGCAAAAAATTATTCTTGCTATGTGTTATACAAATAATCAGGCCAAGTATAATAAGGCTAAAGCCTATTTTGCAAGCAAACGAGTCCTATCATGATTTGTTTGTAATAAAAATGAGGACTGTAGAGAGACAAATGTTTCAAAAACTGTGGTACACCTGTTACTAGAGTCTAGTCTCCACAGTTGGTTTTCTGTATTTTTATCTGCAATTTTGACTAATGCTGCTTATTCCTTGAACCAACCAGTGATCTCTGGCTGCAGCTCAAAAGAACCTAGAGAGATAGGCCTTAAAGGTCCAAATGATCCTCAGTGAGGATATCATCTTCTAAATGCTCAGGAGTCACCCTTCTATAAAAGACTGCTAGACTGTCGATTAGTGGAACACAAAAAAGCCAAAATCCTGTTCATGTTTCTCTTGAACCTGACCGGGTAGCAATTTCACCAACCCACAGAGTCACTCTGCCCTGACACATATCAAGGGGCCAAAACCCACAGAACAACCTTCACCACCCCTCTGTCAGTAGCAAGCAGTTACAGAGCCTGACCTTTGTCCATTTTCCCCAAGCGTCGGGTCTTGGACTCTTGACGGGGAATATTAGAGTAGGTAGTTAGTCAGACTTGAGCAGGGCATGAGAGGGCCCTTCCCAGGACCATCAGGACCACCTGATGGTCAAGCAGTTGTTAACTTGTCCCGCTAAAATAATAATTGGTTGCAGCTGGTGCCAGAGAAAGGCCGTCTCCCAATAGATGCAAACACCTGAAATCGGTGAAGACAGGAGTTGCATTGCCTTAATGCCCATCAATACTGGATTGCAGTCCTTTTTTAATCTTTTATTTTAGGTTCAGTGTACATGTTCAGGTTTGTAAATTGCATGTCATGGGGAGCTGATGTATAGATTATTTTGTCACCCAGGTGCCAATCACTTGAAGAGTCCCTTCCTCATTGCTTGTTTTTATTAATTGTCAGAAATAAGATGATTGTACCTGTGCAGCATTACTTCTGAGCTGTTCTATTGATCCATATGTCTGTTTTTATACAAGTCTCATGCTGTTTTGGTTATTGTAGCCTTTCAATATAGTTTGAAGTTTGGTAATGTAATGCCTCCACCTTTGCTCTGCCTTGCCTATTAGTCTTTTTTGGTTCCATGTAAACCTTAACATAGCTTTTTTTTTCTAGTTCTGTGAGGAATGTCATTGATAGTTTGATGGGAATAGCATTAAATCTGTGAACTGCTTTGGGCAGTATGGCCATTTTAACAATATTAATTCTTCTTATCCATGAGCATGGAAAGTTTTTCCATTTGTTTATGTCATCTCTGATTTCCTCTGAGCAGTGTTTTGTAATTCTCATGGTAGAGATATTTTAGCTGTATTCTTGGATATAATGCGCATTTATCATTCCAACAATCCTAGGGCACACACACACATACACACAGGTACACACAGATACATGGAGGGATGCACACAGGCATACACACATACACAAACACATGCACACACATGCATACACACACACATGAGCACATACACATATACACACAGGCACACAGGTACACATACATGCAGGCACACACACAGTGCACACATATACATACACACACAGTCACACGCACACATTACAGCATCCATTTTTGGCTAATAATAAATGAGTCCATAACACCCAGCCTTCCCAGTTTCCACCCAGCTGGGGCTTTCAGATCATTCATGATTCTTTTTATCCTTCATTCCCAGGTAGTCTTTACAGCATTTATGCCACAGGCATTTACTGAGTGCCCCTGTGTGCCTGTCTTCTCAGCCCAGAAGTGACTAAGGTCAATGCACTGGTGTCTCACGAAGGGAGTTATGCAAGGGGGTGCCCTGCTCAGCATCCGAACTTGTATGGGAGGTGTGAGAGGGAGGAACACTGCAACCAGACCCAGGACATAACACAGTGAGAGCAGCCAGACACAGAGGCAGCAGCCCGAGAGCCTCTCCCACACATGACCCGCTGGTTTCACTCATGGTACAGTCCATTTCACCAAGCTGGCATTGCCTGTGGGCAAAGTCGGGACCATAGCAAGTGCTTGCTGTCCCTCAAATTTCAAACATAGAGTGAATTCATGATGCCATCTGAAAGACTGTGCTTGCAAGCTTCCCAGAAAACAACCCTTGCAGGACAAAGAAACGCACAGTGCATGCTGGACCTGCTGCTTCTCCCTGCAACACCTCAAGTGAAAACACAGGTCAGAGTGTTGAGGAGGTTTATTTCACTTCATACCTTTCTTACTGTATGAATTTTAAGCACACATGTATTAATTTTGCTTCTGTTAGCAAGTAAACAGAACAGCACATTCTGTTCTGTTCTCTTTAGCTCTGTAGTTAATCACAGGAATAAAAGGTGGACACAATGTAACCGAGAGTCAGAAGGAATGTGCCACACACTGAGTTCCAAATTAAGAGTCCTTTTTAAGTTAACCAGCGACTGACAGACATCTAACACTCAAAATTCTCTTGGCCCCGAGGAAGGGGCTTATCTTTTATACCTTGATGTAGGTAGGGGAGGGGGAGCCTAGCAGAAAAGCAGGCTAGAGGAAGGGGCTTTGGGCACAGGTGTCACCAAAAAGGGGGGTGGTCAGGCTCCTTCTACACAATGATCAAAGGGAAATTTTTTTTCTTACAATAGCAGGGGGCGGGCTGTGCCAAGTAGGATGTGGTTACAGTGGTTACAAGTGTTAGGAGCAGTACTCTTCAACACTTCTAAGTGCAGCGTGACCCAGTTATGCACTCAGAGGGGCTGTGGTAGGGAGGGGGAGGCCAGGTTGGAGTTTACAGCTAAGATGGAGTCAGTGATGCTAGCCCAGGGTAGGTTATTACATTCCCCACTTGTGTTTTTGGGGAGTCAAAGCATTGACTCCTCAGTTACAAGGGGCTTATAGTGGCTCCTGAGATACATGAGTTTGACAGAATTTCTGTGCTGTCTTATAAAAGTAAGGAGCCAGTTTAACAGGCAGAGTTCAAAGATTAAGCCTAACAGGAGAAGAGGTCCCACTAGCCCAGTTACTAAGGTGGTTTACCATGGGCTCCAGTTAAACATGCTTTGGAACCATGAGGCATTCTCGTTCTCATTGGCGTCTATTTAACTTGTCCTGGACCTTTTGGAGGATGTCTTTTATGACACCAGAGTTGTTAGTATAAAAACAACAGTTTTCTCCCAGTGCTGCACATAAACCTTGGGATAGGAATACTAGATCTAAGCACGACGTTTTTGGAGAGCAACTTCAGCTAGGGATTTTACCTGAGTACGTAACATATTTATGGCAGACTGGAGATTTTCCAAATCAGCATCTACTTGTTGAGACAGGGATGTTAGTCTAGTCCCGGACGAGGGCAGCAGTGCCGACAGCTGCTGACCCAGCTACGCTAAGGCCAGCCAGAAGGGGCCCAAGGGGTGGGACAGCCCTGGAATGCAGCTCAGGGAGTGTAATGAGAAGTTGTCCTTCTGGTCCGCTGTACACATAGACCTCAGGAAGCACATGAACTGACACGCACAGAAGAGGTTCAGGTTCAGTCCCACTGATGCAGTGGGGGAGGCCTGAGGAACAGGCCAGCCAGGTATTGTTAGGTGCCTGGTAGGAGACTGGCGGATTCAGGGAAGTAAGTGGAGACTGGTTACAAGTAGCCTGAAAAGGAGAATCACACAGTTTATACCTGTTGCTGATTAAGTAGGAGGTTTCCTGCAACATCCCCCAGTGTAAGGGAACAGGGGAGTGTTGGCAAGCAAGAGGCCTGATGTTGAAAGGGGCTCCAACTCCCGGTCCAATATAGTATGGGGATTCAGCCTTTGGACACAGTCAACAATCTCTGACCAGTTTAGTCTTTAATTCCCATGTCATACTGTAGTATCAATGAGGTAAGCTAAGGTAATGAACAGTTATGGTAAGAGGATTGCAAGTTAAAATAAGTAGCCAAGGTTACACCAGTCCAGAGGGCAGGAAAATTCATTAACTTGCTGGCAGCTAGTATGGGGTGTTTTTCTGGACAGAGGTAAAAGTTAAGTGACTGAAGTTTCTTTTCTGCTTTTGTCCCACATCCAACTTGGGCCGCTGTATGTCTAAAACCAGCGGCAAGGTCAGTGGCACCTGCTCCGATAGCACTAGCTGGGCGAGGGCCGGGTTCCAGGAACAGAGCACACAAATCACCCGCAAGAGAAACCTTGTTAGGGCACCGGCCCTCCAGGTGGTATTTGCATACACAGTCCTGTGGGGGAAGAGGACATAGCTGGAGGGAACAGGTAAAAGACATAAACAAGAAGGATGAGGGTATGCTCCCCGGATGAGTGGCTGGATGATGTCTTTAACCTGTTGGGGAGACTGCAGGTACTGTAACAAGTTAGCTTGGGCTATTTCTGCCAGATGGGTATTCTTTAGCTTAGACAAGATAGGGGGAGCCCTTCCATACATGGTTTTAAAAGGAGAGAACCCCACCTTGTAAGGGGTACATCTGACTCTAAGAAGAGCTAAAGGAAGGAGGTTTGTCCAACCCTCACCGGTCTCTAGGACAAACTTTGTAAGAGTACTTTTTAAGGTTTGATTCCTGCGTTCTACCTGCCAAGAGCTCTGAGGCCAATAGGCACAATGGAGTTTCCGTTGAATGTAATGCCTTACTGACTGACTGAGCTATGGACGAGGTGAAGGCTGGCCCAGTATTAGATCCTAGAGCAAACTGCAGCCCATGTGAAGGGATGATTTCATCGAGTAAGAATTTAACTACCATAGAGGCAGTTTCGTTTCTGGTGGCAAATGCCTCAGTCCATCCAGAAAAAGTGTCCACCATCATCACCAGGAGACACTTACATGCCGCCCAGTGTGGCTTTATTTCTGTGAAGTCCATTTCCCATCTGTCTCCTGGGGTACATCCTCGAAGGCGGCAGCCCAGTTCAGGTTTTGGGCCTTGTGTGGCATTTACCTGCGCACATTCCCTGCATCGGGAGGCTACAAGGTTAGTCAAGTCTTGAAGGTGGGGAATTTTAAACCAGCTTCTTGAAGGCTGGGCCAGCTTCATTCCCCCTAGATGAGTGGAAGAACGGAGACCACGACCCAGGCCTTTCCCAGGGTCTGGGGCAGAAAAATTCTTGAATCCGAGAGAACCCACCATCTGTCCCGATTTTTACTGGCCTGAAGATCCAATGCTTGCTTGTCTTCTGAAGAGTAGACTGGGCGATCAGGCAAATCGGGCTGTGGGAATATAGAGTGGGTAACAGATTTAAAGCGGTGACGGGAAGTTGGGCTGCCTCTCGGGCAGCGGAGTCTGCCCTTTGGTTCCCTCGGGCAATGGCTGTATTTTCCTTTCGATGTCCTTGCAGTGGATTACAGCCACCTGCAGGGGAGCCACGCGGCCTGGAGTAAGGCCAGGATTTCTTCCTTTTTTCTGATAGTTTTTCTAGCCGAAGTGAGAAGCCCACGCTCCTGGTAAATAGCTCCGTGAACGTGCACAGTTGCAAAGGCACACCTGCTGTCAGTGTAAATGTTGATGCGTTTCTTCTTACCCCGTCGGAGGGCATAAGTGAGAGCAATTAACTCAGCCTTTTGCGCCCAAGTTTGGGCCGGTAGGGCCTGGGCCCACACACTGTCCGTTTCCGTGGTGAAGGCCGCCCCAGCCTTTCGCACCTCCTGTTGGAGTAAGCTGCTGCCATCCGTGAATACGGTGGCATCGGCCTTCTCCAGGGGGCATCCTGGAGGTCCAGGCGGCCAGCCTCCGCAGTCTCCAACAGTTCCTGGCGATCATGGCCTGCTGCCGTCAGGTCTGGATCAGGTAGAAGAGTGGCTGGATTTAAACACTTTGTGGGGGAGAAAGTCAGGCGAGGCTGAGCCAAGAGCAGACTCTGGTACTGTAATGTGCCAGCACTTGACATTCGTTTTTCAGAGGCACTGCGCAGCAATGTCTCAATGGCATGAGGAGCCATGAGGGGTAAGTTTTGGCCCAGGCTTAGTTTATTAGCTCCTGGACCAGACTTGTGGTTGCTGTTACAGCTCACAGACAACTTGGAATGCTTGTGTCTAACTTTTTAGAGTGCGGCCACTAAGATTTTTGCCTGTCCTTTTGAAGCCTTGTCAGCTGCCTTTTTAGCAGCCAGAGCAGCCTGTTTTTGTTTCTCACGGTCTCGATTGTCAAAAACCTTCTGAGCTATTTCTAGGGGCTGGGTGATATTCATTCCAGCAAATCCCTCTAGCTTTGTAATTTTCTCTGAATATCAGGGGCTGCCTGGGCCACAAACGCCAAAATAATAACACGGCTATTTTTGGGAGCCGCTGGATCAGGTGGGGCGTAAATTTGATAGACCTCTTGGAGGCTTTCCAAAAATGCTCCAGGTGACTCACTGGGCCCCTGGACAACTTCAGTTGTCTTAGACAGAGTCATGGTTTTCAAGCAGCGTGTTTAATATCCGTGAGGAGATATGGGTGGAAACTGTCCAAAGCTCTACTCTCCTACAAGGTATTTTGGTCCCAGTCAGGCTGAGTAGAAGGAAAAATTTTCTCAGATGCCACTTGATATCAGTTAGGTAACATTAATAGTAATAACTCTAAATACAATCCACCCACAAATGACCAGTCTCTGAACCCTCAGCCATGAGCTTGTCATCTCACTTTCCTGCAAGAAAAGATCTCCGTGACCTGGAGAGAGGCAAGTTAGAGACAGTGAAATGGACACTCAGGTGAGCCTTTCCAAGCACCACTGTCTACCAGGTGCAGGGTTCCTGCCTGCTGACAGCCCTGCGAGGACAGCTGATCTAGGACCCTGCACAACCTCAGAGTCCACCTGCATCTTCAGAAGCATAATTGCCAAATCCTAGCACCAGCATGAAGTGTCCACCATTCAGCCTCACGGAATGGCTATGCTTCAGATCCGTCATCATCCTCAGCTAATCCGACTGTGTCTTTCCTCCTTTTCTTCTGTGACAGCCCAGTACAAGGCAAGGCTCCCGCGTTCTTCATTTCACCAACTTCAATATAGGAAGAGCTCATATAACAACTGCCAGTGATTCCGAATGAAGCTGGAATTGATCTATTGCCTCTTGTTCGCTTCCTTCCTCTCTGCAGGTACATCTTACAGGAACACAGGGAAATGGTTACTGATAGAGGAGTCTGAGTGTTCTTCTGGGCATTTTCCACTCTTGACTCTTTAAGTTGAAGTATGAAATATACCAAACTGTCTTTGATAAGGATATAAGACATACTTTACAAGA